CTGTTGCAAATTGTATTAACTGGGTGTAAAACATGGGTAACTCAGTGTATCTCTACTCTCAAATGCTTAAAACTACTCTCAAAGCTCAAGGATGCTCTGTTAAGCATAGTCAGATTCTTGATTTCTTAAGTTTTGTTGATGAAACATTTCTCAAGTCCGTTCTCAAATATTTTTAATTAAACCAATTGATACTTGAAATTGCATGGAAAGCTTTATCAAATAAAAATTGATAATTGTATTTTACTTACATAAATATATTAAATGTTATGAAGGCTTTGGCCTCTAAAAAGGGCAAAATAAAGTAACAATATATTTCTTAAATACAGCCAAATTTTTCAACAGCAGAATTTCAAGAAAGACAAGCAGCCTGTGTTTTGAATGGGCTGGTGGTGGGGCAGCGTTTGTGCTTTGTGAATCAGACCTATAAGTTTACTAAATTTGCTTGCTTTGTTTTTTTAATATAAACACCTACTAAAATTACTTTTTTTTAAGATTTTATTTTTTTGAATATATTTTATTGATTTTTCACAGAGAGGAAGGGAGAGAGATAGAGAGCTAGAAACATGGATGAGAGAGATACATCGACCAGCTGCCTCCTGCACACCTCCTACTGGGATGCACCCGCAACCAAGGTACATGCCCTTGACCAGAATCGAACCTGGGACCTTTCGGTCCGCAGACAGACGCTCTATTCGCTGAGCCAAACCGGTTTCGGCTAAAATTATAAATTAGCTTTTTAAAATAAAATCAAGGTCTCATATAAATTGTTATATAATAAGCCAATATTTTTATAAACAATTAAATTCTAATAAAGCCACCAGCAACAGCTAATAAAATTTGTGATATAATTTTAACAGTATCTTTTAGTGATTTTGGTTTGCTTTTCCCTTGTTTATTGAGAAGAAGCAAACTATCTTTTCTTTGAAAGAACAGTTCAGAAGCCACCATGACTATCTGACTTGGCAGTGGCCATGTTGGCCTCATGGTTTGCTGCTCCCATGAGGGCTGCCATCTTGAAACAGCAAAGGCCAACCCCTTCCTTTGAATAAGCCAATGTCTTTGTAAGCAATTTAAGCCTTCTAAGAAAGTTACTGAGACCTCCCATGATCCTTCTGTATAGGAATAAGCGTAAGGGGGATACTCTTTAAAAATAAAATTCTAAATTTAATAAAAAGGAGAAATTTGAAAATTTTGAAATCTCCTCCACTAACATTTACAGTGTAAACTAAGACTGTTAAAATATTAAATTTGATAGTAAAACAGAAGTCAACCTTACTGTAATGAGATTTCTTGTGATAAGGCTATTCAGCCATATGGCTCACTCTGCATTAAGCAACAGTGCTAGAGATAGTTTGATGTAAAAAAAAAAAAAAAAAAAGATTTTTAAATAAATGTCTCTTTTGCCTGAAAATTATTTTGGAATGAAATAAAAAGTTTTCCTTCAAACATCTTAAGGACTGTAATGAAAAGTAAATATATTTGGCCTCATAAACTGAAGTAAAAAATTTGTGTTTTTGCCTGCCTGACAAAGCTTATGTTAAGTTAAAGACTAGTTGCAGGAGTTTGATTAATATCATTTATTGTTCATAATCTAGGACAAGTGAAGTTAAAAAATAAGCTTTATTCCAGATTAATTTAAATTGGGCAACTGAAATAAATTAATACTCAAAAATAAAAACTTAATTGCACTGGACAAAAACTATTCCTGAAGTATTAACTAAAATCTTTTACTGATAGTTCATCTCATAGTAAAATTGCTTAACATGCAACGAATCCAAAGCAGTCATATTTCTGTGCAAAAAGAAAAAGTTATCAAGACTGCATTAAAAAATTTTACAAAAGCCTCATAAAATAAAAAAGAGGGTTTGTAGAATATCCTGTAAGAAATATCCTGTAAGGAAATTACATCAAGCCTTTGCTTTAAAATTTTTTACTTTAAAAGTTATTTTTCATTTATAATGCTGACTTACGGTGTCAAAATAAGCCAATGAAAAATCGTTTGGACAAAAAGCAAAAGGATCCCAAGTCTAATTTACAGGAAGATTCCTTTATTAATCTTTGGTGGAGACTATGTTTGTTTATTTTCAGAAATCTCCAAATCCCTGTGAATTCCTGCAACAACAGATCCCAGAGAGGAATTTGACAGCACTGCTCCAGCCACGGAAAAAGCAGTGGCCCCCAAGAACCGGGGAGAAACCGTCCAGAAATAAAAGACGGTGAAGATGCCTTGCCATGCTAGCCGGCAGCAACTGTGTGTCACTGCAGGTTGCCCAGGACCAAGGGCAAAAGTCGGTGTGTACGCGCTTTCAGACCATGTGTGCGCACCCTCCTGCATAGAAGTTAAAATGTTTGATGTTTTGTGTTCTACAAGGACCCCTGATTTGGGGGGGCTTGCTTTATTCCTAACTCAGGGAATGGTATTAGCTGCCACATTGAAAGAGATGTTATACTCAGGAATTAAGCACTTTTACAGATGGATCCAGGTCTGGCAAGACTGGATCTACTGCAGCAGGGGAGCAAAGGTCCTTCAAACCCCTTACATTTCAGTAGAAATACAATTAAGTCATTTTTAAGTGCTAAAAAATAAATTAAAAAGATAAATATGATTAAAGTAAAATGGGTGAGTGAAGTATAAAGTTCTCAGAAAGTCTACATTGTACTTAATAACAGATTTCACAATAGGTAAGTGAGGTGGGACAAAATTTTCTTCAAGTCAAACTAATTTACGAATTCCTAAAATCCCCTCAAACCAAGAATTTCATCAATTCTCTTTAATTCAGAGAAATGAAAGCTCAAATCTACGTCATCAAAAATTGAGCTGGCAGCTAAAGGAGCCCCACATCCTTAATACTGAAGTATGAATACAGAATCTGTGGATAAGAAACAATGTGTGTGTGTTTATTTTTACTTAAAGTACATCTCTTAAAAACCTATTGAGTTTAAACCTAAAATATAAATATTTTTATTAACATTTTATCTTAGCTCTTCAGTGTCCAATTTCTACTTCCCTGAAACCATATATTCTACACTCTTTTTTTCTAAGTAACTTTTTATTTCAAAATCCTCACAAAGGACATGCTTTTATTAATTTTAGAAAATGGGAGAGGGAGAGAGCAAAGAACATCAATGTGAGAGGGAAACTTCGATCGGTTGCCTCCCATAGGCACAGAACAGGGATTGAACCTGCAACCTGGGTAGTAGCTGCCCTGATTGGAAATCAAACCTGTGACCTTTCATTGTATGGGATGAGAGAGCCACCTCGGGAGCTACTCTCTCCACTGTGGTTAGTTTGCCCCAGAGCCATATAATCTCAGCCTTCGTTAGTTCCTTTCCAAACTCAGAATAAAATGTACACTATTCATCCTGGCACTCAAGGTCCACTACAATATAGCTCTCACCACGTCTTTTGGCTCTACTTTTCCATGTGCATTTGCCATTCCATTACCATGTTTGACACTACTGCACTTTTTCCTTCCACCCTCCCATTCACTCATTAAATCCTACCACGTGTTAATACCAACTCAGGTTCCACTTCTCAAAAACCTTACTAGAAATAGAAACTTTAGCTCAAAGTGACTTCTGGACTATGTGAATGTCTGTAGTGAGTGAGTCTCCTGCACATATGGAAAACTAACCTCTCTTTTTTCTTCTTATTCCCTACAAATTCCTTTATCTGATTATCAGTCCTATCAAAAACATGCTACCTTATAGTTAGAAACTCTTATGCATATGATACTCTATAGTAGGGGTGTCGAACTCAATCAGAGAAGGGGCCAAAATCTAAAATCCAGCCTAAATCGCGGGCCGAATGGTTTACTGAACAGTCATAAACTGTCATTGTGATGGAAACGCAGCGGAGTGCAGTGATGACAGCGCGGGGCGGGCCACATTGCAAGGCCTGGCAGGATGGATTTGGCCCGCGGGCCTTGTGTTTGACACATGTGCTCTATAGCCTCTGAGTACTTTGAGGTTAGCAGGGCAACTGAGGTTAGATATCTTGTCTAAGGTCACCAACTAATTAGCAAACTGCGAAGTCATGATTAGAACCCAGGTTTGCTAGTCACAAAAAACAAACAAAAAAACAAAACAAAAAAACAACCTCTTACCACTTTGCTACATGTAAGCAAACACAAATCATTTTCATCTATCTGCTGGCTCACTTATGTACACATCGACAGAATTGACACCTGAATGCCTGTCATCACAATGGGAGCGTAACTGCAATAATTGTAGTTGCAACAGCAATAAGAGGATTAGGTATAGTTTATTACAGAGCAACTGTATTTGGCCTTGATTTGACATTTTTATTTCTTCTTAAAAATTTTATTCATCTGCCACTACATAGCATCGACTATATCAGAGGGATACAAGGACTGAGTGAGTCATTGCATGCAAAGAACTGTACTTTATATTTGTTTTGAACACACTTGAAAGAAAGGTCCATGCTTCAGACGCAGGCATCAGGAATGGATGCAGTGGCTACTTAGGGCAGCTCCCATTTCTACTCAATTCAGCACCATCCACCTCCTAGCGGTCACTCTTCCAAGCTGCTGCCTGATAAGTCACTGGGCTATTTCCACCCCACATAATCTAACCTGATGCAAGTATAACACCTTATGACTTAAATCACCTAGCAATGTTAAATCTCTACATTAGATCTTCCAGTTAGAAAGTTAAATTTCCCCTCACATAGTTAATTAAGTAGTTATTGTAGTAGTAACAACAGCGACAATACTAAATTTATTTGTACCATATTATTTAAAGAGCTAAACCTCTATCCTTTGGTTACCAAGAACTTTTAAGTGAATGAGTTTAACTCTCTAAAAATGCCTTTACTTTCACTTTTAGCCTCTTAACAATAAAAAATTTACCATTAAAAAAACCTGCATTCTAATCCAAGAATCTGATCAGCATTTGCTCAAGTCCCACAGATCACAGAATTAAGAAAAACCCCCTTTGCCATTTCTTCGTGTTCACAACCTGAGGCCTCAGCAGTGTTCGCACAGGGAACTCCTCCGGGTGTTTCTTCTCGTTTCACCAGGCACACTCACAAACAGAGCAGAAGGCAGCATGAGCATCGAGCTCCAGCTCTGACTACCTGGCCTTGTGACCTGCACAAGTCACAACCTCTTTAGACCTCGGTCCTGCACCTGTGAAATGAGAATAGCATCCCAGGATGCTCAGGTTCCTTGCAGTTCTGAAATTCCATGATCTTCCATGATTTTAATTTTCCTTTAAAAAGTTATCTTTCCTAGCCAAAACCAGTTTGGCTCAATGAATAGAGTGTCAGCTTGGGGACTGAAGGGTCCCGGGTTAGATTCCAGTCAAGGGCATATCCTTGGTTGCGGGCATATCCCCAGTAGGGGGTGTGCAAGAGGCAGCTGATCGATGACTCTCTCTCATCGATGTTTCTAACTCACTCTCTCCCTTTCTCTCTGTACAAAATCAATAAAATATATTTTAAAAAAATAAAAATAAAAAAAATAAGTTACCTTTCCTATTACTTTTCAGTTTTTCAAATATACATCTCTTCATATACTCTTTATAAATCTGTTGAGGACACATAAAATATTATGACATTAAGAGGTAATGAAAGGTTACAAATAAAAAGATGAGTTTGCTCTTACCATGCATTTCCCCACTTCTCTTAAATGCAGTATAAATATATTTATAACTTACATATTTTTACATTCAACTTTCCAATATATTTTAATCTGTTAATTTAGCTCAAAAGTCAAGGGCTCCCCCAATAATTTGTAACTGACCAGGGATCATGCCCTTATAACAACTTGTCCTGCACTAAAGCAAAACGCAAGTTGTTTACTTAAGACCCATTCCCCTTTTCACTGTTGATATTCACTGAGTGGCCAGATTACGATGATCTCTGAATGCACAGTAATCTTGCCACTCAGTGTATATCCTATATAATAAAAGGCTAATATGCAAATTGTCCCTTTGACCAACAGGAAGGCCAGCCAACCGTCCATATCCCCTCCCCCTGGCCAGGCTGGCCGGACCCCACCCATGCATGAATTCATGAGTGTGTGTTGAGTGGCCCAGGTTACTATGTGTTCAGAGATCATAATAATCTGGCCTCTCAGTGTATAATCATCTCAATCCTGGGGCCATGCAGATAATTCATAACTTCCAAAGCCTACCTTGTTTTGACACTTGGCCATTTTCAGCACCCACTCCCAAAGATTTCAAGGCCAGTGTGAGTGCACACCCACTGCGCGTTCCCCATTGCACACATGTTCGCTTGCACACACCCTTCCTTCTTTATTACCACTGCCATATAACAGTTTCCTGACACTTCAATACCCTTGAATAGCATCCAAACTGACAAATTCTGCTTTATCATAAATAAAGTAATAGAAATGGTACAGCAAGTTGATTCAACTCACCAAATTTAGTTAAATAAAACTAGTTTAGAATCACCATATGAAGCAGCATTACAAACATAAAATTTTATTTTGTTAGACTTGACAGGATGGATAGATTTTCAAATTAGACTTTCTGCTTCAGGAAACTAAAGAAATGGTGAAAACATTAAGTTGTTAATTATAAGAATTCTGCACAAATCACTTAACTAGTACAATATTGTTAAACACTTGTGATATTTATTTAAAACACTGTTAAGTCTAAAGCAGAAAAATATACTCCTTTTAAAAGGGTTAAGTTTCAGTTAACTAAAATTTTCAATTTATTTTCTAATAGCACTGTTTCAAATTAGCTTGGAACACCTATGCTTTAAAAAATTGCTATTGTGCTTAATTACTGTAACTGCCACATGAGTTTAAACTCAGCTTTCTTCTAACTAAAACCAGATAGTCCTTTTTTATCCTGAATACATCAAAGCAGCACTTACAGACGGGCACCTTTCCTATTTATTGTGCTTTGCACAGATATAAGACTTACATATCGGATGAACGTTGACATTTGTAGGCAACTGTTTAGGGAAAACACTTATCTATATAATTCCATAAATGACAAAACTTTCAAGAAGTGAAATGGGCACTTAGACATATTTTATATAAGGACTGGCTAGAAACTACTACTTAAGTGATTTTATCTTTCCAACTCTCATTCACACCAATGGTAGCAAAGTAAAATGAAGATTAAGTTCCTTGAGGTCAAGTACTGAAAGTATTAAGATTTCTAAAATATGTCATTTCTAAGGGAAAAAAAGTCATTTTTTCTAATTGCCAAAATCATCACCAATTGTTATAGAATTTGCTTAGTCCCATATTTTTAGAAAAACTAGAAATATATATATATATATATATATATATATATTGTCAACCTAATTTATTAATTCAACAAACATCTGAGAGTGTACATGTCACAGGCTGAGGTGAGCACCCTCAAGAAACTAATTTTAATAGGGTAGACAAAGAAAGGTAAGATCACAATGTTCAGCATGATAACCACATAGAGAGTAATACTCAACACAGGCTTGGGTTGTATCTATAGCTGAAAGGAACCAACGTTTTGCCCCCCGCAGCTGCCTTTGGGGATATTGATTTGAAGCTGGTTATTAAGAAACCAGACTCAGAAAGGACCTTTGCCCTCCCTTCCTGCCTGCCCACGAGACTCCGATATAAAAACCTGCTCCAGGGAGGGAATCGTAGGGTGCAGCCTGAGCCTCCTTTAAGTCAGGTGCGGACCATGGAGGGGCTCCAGGCAGGAACCGTTAGCTGGGCAGGCCCTGGTGCCATGGTTTCCGAGGCGCCTGCAAGAATTCCCCTGCATGTGCTCAGCTCTCCCTCCACTCCCTCTACATGGCCGTTCTCACTGTGAAACCTAACACCCCGTCTTCCCCTTTTCTTTGTCCAGAATGTCTCCCCATGTCCAAATATGTACCCAGTGCTGCCTCCCGTCTCTGGAATGTTCATGCTCCTGTGAATTCCCCATACACGTGTATTTAAAATCTGATTGTCTCCTAGTAATGCCTCTTAGCTTGATTTGCCCAGCTAGAACTTAGAACGTGACAGGAAAAGTATTAATATATTTAGCACCGCCCCAGTCAGCTTTCATAAAATTAACAAGCAGTACTCACACTGTAAAGTATGATGCTATTTTTGCTGACAAATGAAAATAAAGCTATAAAAATCTTACTTGGACATCAAACAATGTAGCTATTTTGGGCCCCAAAACTGAAATGTCAATTTTTAAAAAGTGTGTAAGCATTCTCATTAAAAGAATGAGCTCTAAAAGTTCTCATTAAGGGGAAAATAACTTATTGCACTTAAAATTCACAATGAACTGTCTCAATGTAAAAAAAAATAGAGGGGTCCAAGAATAATTAAGTCCTGTCACCATGAAAACAAAAAATTGACATATAATTCCATTTTTTACTTCTTACACAGGCACAGGCACTAACCCTACCTGTTGGCCATAAACTAGGCCTTGGATATCTTTATAATAGTTGGCATACCAGCAACAGAAAGTTGCTCAGTGGGCTGTTTTTATGTTATCAACAAATATAGCCAACAATGGCACACAGCATTTTCCATCTCCCACAGAGAAAAACAAGTTTTACTTGTAAGTACACCATAAATTAAACAAATTATATTAACTACATGGAACTTCTCAAGTAAATTAAAATGTAGTTCCATTCCAGATTATTAAAAACTGTCCCTATGATCAAAGTGGTGTAATTCTCAAAAATAAAACCAACAAAAAAGCAAAACAAAAACCTTACAGACGTAAGCACACTGGCCTCAAAAAAGGAGTATAGTGCCTCAATGAAGGCAAGGTCATAGCATAGGGCTGGGTTATTATACTCGTGTCTTTTGTTGCAGCAATCTTTCTTCCCTTAAGAAGCAAATCAAAACCGTTTGTCCTTATGGAAAAATGATGCACTTCAATCAGCTTCAGGACCATGATTTAGTGAGGAGCTAATAACAGAAATACGTGAGAAAAATATTTAAAAAGTCAACTTGCTTTCACTGATACTCCCAAAACCATTTTAGCAAAGTGCTCATACCAAACATACTTGCAAATGCAATTAGCAAAGAGACCTATTTCTATGTACTCCATCACATGATATCCTTGGGAGTCTAGCTTTTGCTACAAAACATGTAAGCTGGATGAAGTTTTAAAAAGGAGTCACCTTCTGCCTCACTGTATTTGAATACATATTCTGCCTGAGGGGGAGTGAAATACAGAATGAACGTGGAATAAATGGTCTATGGTAGAAATTACTCCATTATTTTATACATTTGGTGACATCTCCTGGGTGAGGAGAAAAAGGGATACTGGAAGGTCTGATTATAAATATTGGCTTCCTTCTTATTACTACCAGTTTGAAGGACTGAGTCCAAACACACAGGCTTTGCTCCTAAAAAACAGACTGATTAAAGAATATACGTTAATTACTTTAAGTAAAATCTGTCACAGATATTGATTACTGTCAACAATCCGTCTGGAAAGAAAACCCTAAAACTGTAGTAAATGCATATAGCGAGAGGCCTCCCAATGCTAACAATTAGCCACTTAAATTTTAAACTAAAATTTTTATAGACAAACAAGATTTAAAAAACAAACAAAAAAAAACAAACCTTAACTGTTAGAAAACTAAGGGTTTGATACACTCCACAATGAATGCATAATACGTGGAAATAAACACCATTGAAAAATATTAACTAGCAAAGCAGGTTTTAATTTAAAATATTTTGCAAACCCCCCACCAAAAAAAGAGCATTGAGAAAATGAAAATGCATTTTTCAAACCAGTAATGGCAGAATCTAATCTAACACACTTGCTCTTTTTCTAAGCCACACACTAATTTTTCAGATATTCACAGTAAAAAAATTTAGGTTGGCCTTCCTTATAAACCATATCATGCATGTTAATTTTCATTACCAACAGCTTTAACATTCCCTCTGCCTAAAAAATAAAACTCAAGATCTGATTTTAAAATCCCTAGCTCTCCATTTTCCCTATTTGCAAATTTTAAGTGAAATCAATTTAATTTTTCAATAAAATTCTTCACAATTCTAAATTGCAACAGTTTATAAAAACCAAATTTTCATTCAAATACTGTTGCTGCTTAAGTTTCATTTTCATGACAAAGGTTTAAAAAAACAAAAAATAAAAAAACCCACCTCATAATAACTGCTCTTTCCCATGGCTAGTCCCAAAGTTCAGTTGAAACTCCCAAAAGAGGGAGTAGTTTAGATTTTAAGACCTGGGTTTTATCTGCAATCATCTCTATCTTCAATAAAAGATTCTTAAGTACTAGAATTATCAACTAAAGTTATATTCTTTATATTTATGTGACATTTATATGACGGTTCCAACTTAAGAGTGTACTCACAACTTTAAAAAGCAACCATGATGAAGAGACTGGGGAGGAGGAGAGGAAAGTCTGACAACCCCACACCTCCCCGAAAGACAGTCCACAGGCAGCCAAAGGTGAACTCGGTCGGCTGGAATTAAAATACTCGTCTAAAGCATTCAAAAGCATTCAAGTACGAATCAACTAAGAAAACCCAGAACACCTCAATCTCAAATTTGTAACTACCAAATAAAAATTCTCAAACAGACAAGCAAAAAATTTAAAGCTTAGTTTTGGAAAATGTTTTAAAATGTAACTTCAAATATACAAAATACTCTAAATGTCTAATTATCAAAAAATACACCTACTGCAACTAAGTATAATATCGTGATTAAAATAATCACTAAAGTAAAATTCAGAGTTGTATCTAAATTTAGGAAGAATTTTTCAGCCAATCCTATGGGCCAAAGGAAAATGTAATCCCCAATCACAAATGGAAGTCATGATTCATTTTCTTTTGGACAATGACAGGCCACAAAGGAATAAAACACAACTTGCCAAATTTCAGAACTAAATAATCGGCACGAAAACAAAAGTGATGCACTTCAGAAACCAGTGTTTTTCTTCGGTCAAATTAGGTTTATAATAAGGCTAACAATCGCAGGAAGCAGCTTATCCCACACTGAAGAATAGCCCCTTTTCCTGCATGTTTGTACTGATAAAAAGCAAAACTTCCTTCTCAGGTTATGCTGTCCATTTTATAGATCCTCGCTACTGTACAGAGGCCATCTTTCTGCTGCGGAGCTGAAAAGGCCCTCGCAGGCCGGGCTAATGGAGTTAACCACATTAAAAACAAACAAAGCAAAACAGACTGTTTACAACGTATCACCCTCAACGACTTGTCCGGCATTTAGAACTCAAATGGTTACTATTTCCAGCCACAGAGAAATGAACAAACATTTGTTAGAGATGACGACATAGTTGGAATTTTAGATTTAGGAGATTCAAATTATCAAAGTCAAAGGTTAGAAACTTTCTAACAGAGAACATACCCCAAATTATCGGACGTTTTAGATCAACGTAAGTTAACATGGAAGCATTTTAGAACTAACCAGAGAAACTCACGTTACTTACTTTTTAATATAATATGCATAAGGTGAAAATATTTCCTAGTGTTTAAAAAATAAGCTCATGCCATTTGATTGAATTCAAGGTTTTAATTCCGAGTGCAATTTAACTTTAATCCTAAATATCGCCAAGGCCTGTTTTCATTTGATCGTCCATAAAGGATCCCTTCTAAACAACTGTTCTACGGAAGAAAAAAGCCTTAACAGAAAATTTTACTAACCCTACTAAAACTCTAACGTCACCAGAACATGCCAGTAGAAAAACAGCAGGTTATGTCTGTGCGATAGAATTGTTGCAGTTTGGAGAGAGTGTGTCCAGTGTGCGTGAATAATGTACAAACACGCAGTGACAGAGGAAGTGGCCCGCTGGGATTCAGGCTCCAGGGACATGTAACACAGGTCAGGCTGTTTCCATTTCGCTGGGAACGTTCCTCCGGTTAAAACGCACTAACTGGCGCCCCTTAGCGCTCACGTCGGGAACCGCCAGCTGGCGAGTTCCAGCTTTTTTTGTGGGTTTTTTTTTTTTTTTTTTTTTTTTGACATTCCAGAAAGTTTTCTGCCTCCACAATCTTTCAAATGCCAGGGCGAGCAGGAGCGGCAGAGCCCCCTTAAAGGGCCAGCGAGGCTTTCCGGGGCGGCGGGAGGGAGGCGGCCGGGCCCGGGAAGCCCGAGCGGACGCGGCCGCCGCCGGGCCCTGGCGGGCGCCCCGGGACCTGTTCGCACTCGGCAGCGGTGCCGGCCCCGGCCCCCGGCCCGTCCAGCCTGTTACCGCGGCGTTTCCGCCTTTTGTTCTGGGCTGCCCGGCCCTGCGGTCCGCGTTCCCCGCCCGGCCCCGCTGGAGCCACCCCGAGACCGGGGGAGCCTAACACCACCGTTTCCCCCCAAACAGCCCCGCTCTCCGGGGCCGCCGGGAGCCCGGGCGGAGGAGCCCCGGCCGCCCGGCCGCCCGAGCCCCAGCGCACGGCGCCCGAGCCCGGCCCGCGGCGCGGCTGCGGGGGCTCGTGGCCGGGCCGGGCGGGCCGGGCGGGCTGCCCCGCTCCCCGCCCCGCTCCGGGCCGCCCGGCCCTCCCCCCGCGCCGCCGGCTCCCGTCCCGCGGCCCCGGCGCGTCCCGAGCGGCCCCGCGAAGTTGCCCGAAACTCGGGAGCCGCGCGGCCGGGCGGGGAGGCTCCCGCGGGGCCGCCGCCCAAACAAAGGCCCCAACTGCGGCCGGCGCCGCGCCCGCCGCCCCCTCCGCCCGCCCGCGCGGCCCCTCGAGCGGCTCAACTCCCGCCGCGCGCCGCCGCCCGGAGCCCGCCGTGTCCTTCAGGCGCCCGGGGCGCGGGCCGCCCCTCCGGGCCCCGAGCTCGCCGGGGCGCCCGCGGGGCGCGGGTCCGGGCCGGGCTCCGGGCGCCCCGCCGCCCGCCGGCCCCGGCGCCACCCCGCGCTCACCCTCGTCCAGCAGCCGCTCCAGGTGGTTGAAGAGGCCGCAGAAGTTGGGCAGGCTGCTCATGAGCTTCTTGTCGTTCATGAGCTGCATCAGGTAATCCGGCGTGGGCTTGGGCTTCTCCTTCGCTTCCATTTCCCCGACCATGTTCCAGGCTCCGCCGCCGCCGCCCGCGAGGAGGGAGGGAGGGGCGCGGGCCCCGCCGCCGCCGCTCGGCGCTCGGCGTCCCGCTCCGCGGCTCCCGCGCCGGGCGGCCGGCCGCGCGCCCCGCCCGCAGCGCTCTCCGCCGGCCCGGGCCGCCCGCCCGCCGCCGCCCGCCCGGCGCGGCTCCTCAGCGGCGGAGGCGGGTCTCCGCGGGCCGCGGGCGCCGGACGAGGAAGAGCCCGGCCGCCGCCGCCGCCGCTCGCTGGCCGGTCGCGCCCGCTCGGCCGCCGCCTGCGCCGCGGGTCGGGGTCTCTCCGGGCGCCGCCGCCGCTGCCGCCGCCGCCGCTCCGACTGCGCCGCTCCGCGCCCTCCGCGCCGCCTCCTCACTCACTTGGCGGCGGAGTTCGCCTCAGTTCAGGCGGCGCTGCCCGCGGCGGGGGGAGGCGCGGGGGCGGCGGGGCGGGGCCGCGCAGGAGGCGGCCGTTAGGGGCCGGCGGCTGGCTCCGCCCCCCGCCCCGCCCCGCCCCGCCCCGCCCCGCCGGCCGCTCCGCCCGCGGGTGGGTGGGCCTGGGGCCGCGCCGGGGTCGCCGCGGCGGGCGGGAGGGAGGGAGGGCGCGGGCGGGCGCTAGCGGCCGGGGACTCCCCGCAGGACGCGCCCCCGGGCGCCGCCGCCCGGCCGCATGCTCGGCCCGCGGCCCTGAGGAGAGGCCGCCCCGCCGCCCCCGCCCGCCCCGCCAGGAAAGCTGTGCTTCTAACGTCCTGTTGCTTCGCGGGGGGCCTGAGGGGTGGTCGTCACGTGGCCCGACACGTAGCCGTGAGGGGCGAGAGCGCGTGCGCGCGTCGGGGCCCGAGGCCACGCCCCTTCCGAGGGTCGCCCCGCCCCCGCCGGCCCGCGCGGTGGGGGAGGGGAGGGGCTGGCGCGCCTGCGTGGGGCCGGGAGGGGCCGGACCGCGGCCGGAGGGGGCGCCGGGAGGGGAACGGGGGGTGCGGAGCCGGGAGGGGCGGCGGGGGGACCCCGAGGGGCGGGACTGGGGCCGGAAGGCGGCGGGGTCCTCGCTCCCGGGCCGCTCGCGGCGGGGACGTGTCTGCGGCCCTGGTCCCTCCGCTGGCCGGGGGCGCGGGCGGCCGCGGTCGCGGTCGCGGGTGGGAGCGCACGACGGCCCCTTCCCCCCTCCCCGTCCTCCGGTTCCCGGGCGGCGCGGCGGGAGGGAGCCTGAGCGGCGGCGGGTCCCACGTGGGCGCGCCCGGTTGCCCCGACGGCGTCGCGGGCGCGTGCAGGCCCGGCCGGGCGGCGGGCGCGCGGGGCCCGGGGTGCGCGGTGCCCGCGGCCCGTTATCCGCGAGCGCGAAGCCCTGAGCGCCCCGCATGGCGCCGGCCGCGGAGCCACAGTGACTAACGTGCAGCCGCAGCGAGGGGAAGCGAGCAGGGCCGTGCCCGGTGTGAAAAGCGAAAGTCCCCGCTCCCTCTGCACGCCGGTGCGCAGGAGGGAGGGTGTCCACTGCTAGGCTGGTCTGGGAAAGACTCCGAGCTGCAGCCAGCCAGATCGCGCTGGAATGCCTTCAGCTGCTGAAGCGCATTCTCCGCAAGCCCTGTGTGGCGTGTGCAATTAATAACTCAGACAAAATTATTTACTATCACGCGGCCCTCTGGGAGGTACAACTCCCGGAGACTCTGTTCATCGTAGCCATAGCCACTGGGTTTAGCCGTGAGCTCGCTGCAAACACATTCTCAGGAGCACTTTTCAGATTGAGTTGCATTGAGCCGCTCGCAGAGGCCAGTAACTTCTGGCCTGTTCGTCTGGAAAACTCGGTGAGCCCGTTTCTAAATTAGGCCGGTTGATAGAGGAAATGGAATTGCCTTGGCAGACAAACTGAAGACAAACTATTTTAAGTTGTCCAACATCTGTCGGTCGCTAAGAGCCACAGAACACTCGCGCACTAATTACCTGTTTGAAGGACGGGTTGTGTAGATGTGAGAAATAATAATTTGATCTAGAAGCTGTTGTCTCTAGCGTCAGCATGCTCCTTCAGTAACTAGCAGCATGGTAAGTAGTTTTAAGGGTGCAGGTGGTAAGCTGTTGATTTGATCTGCTAGTGTAAATGCTTTACACGCATAACTCATCTAACCTCCAGTTCAGCCTTGTGGCTTGGGTTACGCTGTCTCCCCGTTTTATACCACAGGAGACCCCGGAGAAGGAGGTTAATAACTGGCTATTAATGAAGGCTCATGAGTCCTGGATCTGGGATTCAAACCCACTTATATTGTACTCAGAGCCCTCATTCTTCGCCCTTCTACTCGCCCTGCCTAATAAGTCACATTGAACTGTTGACGATGTTGGACCATTTGTGTCCCATGGAAACTGGGACAGCATGGAGCTCACCCGCTGTTTACTAAGCGAACCCATCAGAGGTAAAAGGACATGTTCTGCGGTATTCGCCTCCAGTGTATTAAAGCTCTGACGGATATAGCGTTTGAGGAGTTATTGTGTGTTCCCTTTTCAAATTCAGAGGGGTCCCCTCACCTCTCTGCTCTCTGGTTCCCCCTCTCAGTGACCTCAGCAAGCCCCTGGCGCCCCCTCCCCCATCCGTAAACAGGCCGAGCAGTGGGACTCGGGATGGCCAGTGCACAAGCTATGCCAAGCTTCCCGTCCAAAGCAGCTTTCTGCCCGACCCTCCCGGAGAAGGGGAAGTAAGCACCCTGAGTCAGCTGGGCTCTGACTGGTGCTTCCTCTCCTGGCAGACTCGCCCACAGGCCTGCAGCCCGCTCCGGGAGTCTGACAACCAGAATGAGCCACACAGGAGTGAACACACGTCCTCCTAATTCCTTTCATGACATTCATTTCCTCCTGACACATTCTGTCTACGCGTGATTGTGTCTGTCAACCCCCTCCCTCCCCCCCCCCACCACACACACACACTGTAAGCCCCCTGAGAGTCAGGACTTAATTTTGTTCTATCTGGAGTTCCCAGTGTCTAGGACAGCGTGTGGCACATGGAGGGACCAGTAGAAATATGCTCCAAACGATATCGGGCACTGGTGGTGCTCCAGGAGCCACGCAGAACCCTCCCCACATCACTTCTCCCCGTCGGTGCTGCACACATGGGCCTGGCCTTGGAGACCGGGCACCACCAGAGCCCCCCCTTTCCTGCCCCCCTCCTGCCCCAGGCATTGAGGGTTCACAGCACACCTCTCGGCACCCAACGGGTCCGTGCAGTGAGAACTCACAAACTTTGGGATACGACACTTGCCTTCAGAAAGCTCAAAAATCTAAAAATTCATGTGGAAAGATGAATGACATTGTACAAATATCATCATGATATTGACACGTTACAATGTACACAGAACATGTCTACGGGTGAACTTCCGGTTGAAGATCCTTATTACAACGTTTTTTGTGAAGAAGGATGTCATCTAATATGCTGACCCTGAAAATGGCTCCATACCTCACGTCAGTAATCCACCACAGTCCTCTGCCATCGGATTCTGTCTGCTCATTGCTGTTCTTGTCACTGAAAACATGGCATGACAGTCCTCCCAGACAGTGCAGTCTTACAGGCACTCCAGTGTTCCTTGGACTTAAGAATCCACGTTTGAGGGCTTTTTGTCTCAAATGTTCTTTCAAAAAATCACAATCCTTAGCTTTTTCTAAAAGGGAATAAGGCATTCCCAATCTCTTTGTAAAGTAAATCTTTGTTTATTATCTTATTAGATTTCTGAAGGCTTCTTTCAAGTTACGATGTGGCTCAGAGGCCCGTTTAAAAAGCTGAAATGTCACATTTTAAGTGTGAATATCTTCAAGAGATATTTAAGTGCCTGTCACTAACCCCACAGCACTTGGGCATTAATGTCCCACACAGATGAAAAGTTAACTAGTTAGGGGACGGAGTGAGGGGAGGGGGCAAGTGGGAGATATCTGTAACATCAATAATATAAACGTACATTTTTAAAAAGTTACCTAGTAACGGTAAAAGACAAAGACAAAATGCTGTAGGAATGGAAATGAACACTGCATTCCAGGCCTGGTAGCCAAGGCCGGACCGCCTGGACATGGTCCATCTCAGGCCCAGAAACAGTCCAAGTCCCCAGGGAGGGTGACAGGGGCCTAGGGAGAGTGGCAGAGACCCGGGCGGGGTGGCAGAGTGCGGGGAGAGGAAAGTGGGGCTCGGGCAGGAGTCTCCTCGGAGTAGTAGATGCCAGAGTCTGTTCGGCCTCGAAGGCCAAGCTAAAGATCATCGAGAGAAGACAGAACACTTTGATACAAGGAAATTAACCAATAGATCAGTCAGATGGGCGCCGTGAGCGAGCACACTGAGGCCGGAAAGTGCAGATAGAACCCCGCCACAGGATGCCAGCGGTGCTGCCTTGGGAAGACACGGAGCTCACACCGCACACCGCAGTTACATGCTAACTGCACGGCTCGGGTTTCCCCGCGTTTGACCCTAAATGAAACGTTAGAGGCAAACGCTTCCCGGCCAGGCCGGCCCTGCGCCAGGTGATCAGCCTCATCCCGTCTCACACAGGAGCATTAGCCAGGGCATGAGGGCCTGTCGCTGTAGGGATCTGAGCGGACTGAGAGTGCGTTTGGCTTTGAGCCCCTTGCAGGTGACCACAGTCCTGTGAGTGCCAGCCCGTGTCCCGTGCTCCCCCGATGGGGCCGGCTCCTTCGGGGCGCATCTGTGCTGCAATTTTTTTTCACAGACTAAAGAGAAACCTCTTGGCTCATGGTCTGTGTGTTCGTTTTAAACAAGTAAGGTGGGGAAACATTTTGGGAGCAAAGGAATTGTCTACTCATGTCCTAGATGTTTAATCAAGTGCCTTTATCCCTCACTGAAATTTAATGTATGCCCGAATGTTACATTTTCCCAGGAATCTCTGTATAGTCTCGCTTCCTAACAGCCTTCCGAGTGGGGCCAGGGAGACAGAAAAGGGCTGACATTTTGGAGTCCCTGCAAACGGCAGGCACTTCGGTTATTAATTACCCCACCGCGTGCACAGCAGCTCTGAGTTAATGATTACCCCCACTTAGCGGTAACCAGTCCAGGGAGGTAACTAAGCGACGTGACGTGTGACACAGCTAGTAAATGCCGGGGACCGGATGGACACCAGACCGTCCGAGCCCCCAGTGATGATGGCACAGTGCTGGCCCTCCTGTGAGTGACCTTTGTGCCCCGATGAGCTGGTCCCTGAGTCCCTCCTCCTTCAGGCTCTAACCCCGTGGTCAGCAAACCGCAGCTCGAGAGCCACATGCGGCTCTTTGGCCCCTTGAGTGTGGCTCTTCCACAACATATCATGGCCTGGGCCAGTCTATGTTGAAGCAGTAGCGTTAGAAGAAATTTAAGTTTTA